TTTCCCTGCAAACATTCAGATTAGTGCAGCATAAATTCATTCATGAGGGGAAATTACAGTGAGAACATGTGGAGGCTGTTAGAGGGATAACATAGTGAGTTCAGTGCATTGATGTGACATGTCCTGAAGGATTGTTATTCTTTATGGTTAAAGAAATTGCAATGATTTATTCATATTTATTATAAATAATCCTAATTAAACATCTTGCTTCCATGTTTGTATCTTGTGTAACTAAAAATACAATTTATTTTAATTTTATATATTGATCAATGACCTGCAGAATCTCCTTATCATATTAAGTGATTCATAATTGTCACTTTATGCTTTCTCCATCTCTACAGTGATGACATCCTTGCATTACATACTTTAGGTTCATTTTCTGCAGGCAGGTTTACACTATAACATGCAGCGTTCTATAGATGGACACATAAAGAAATGAAAAATGACATGTATGTGCTAACTTTCTAAACACTTTGTTACATTTATGATAAAGTAGATAAAACACATTTACGTCGGCCTTGGCTCATAGTTCTTGTCTTTAAATGAACTTTGTCTGTGTGTGTTTCAGGTCCTGCACTCTCAAAGACTGAATGAACCAGCACTGCAGCGATGGGTCACCGTGAGCATCACAGGGAAGGTTGAAGCCGCCCACTGCACCTGTATGGCCGGAGTCGCAGAGACCTGCAGCCATGTCGTTGCTCTTCTGTTTAATGTAGAAGCAACAGTGTTGATCCGTGGCACAAGGACTGTTACAGATGAACCTGCATTCTGGGTTTTGCTGGGCAATGTGACCAAGATACAGCCAGAGGTTGGCCATAAGATAGACTTCTCCTCTTCAGCTGCCCAAAAAAGGCTCTTGATCAAAACCTAAACAGACCATCTGTAGTGACGGGAAAAGGAGCCGTCCTCAAAAAGAAAAACCCCACCTGCTACTGTGGAGGAGTCGTCACTGCTATTGGATACTTTGCTGGAACACAGTAAAGCTGTGGGTTGTGGGAATGACCCATAATGTTTTATCTAGGGGTCTAGATTTATGCCTGTAGTGCACTGCCGTGTAAATAATTTGCATTTACTGAATATATACTGACTGAGTCCCACTGTTCAAAAGTTGAATAAAGAAACAAACTAATTTTTGCCTCTTTTTTTTTTATTAAAACCACTTTATAGAACATCACATCAGTTGCAATGATGATGTCATTTATAGTTTACAAATGACAAAATGTTTACACAAAATCATGAGTGTTTACATGACATCACCCACTACTAACTTTTTTACTGTATCTTTTGAAAAAATACAGCGATTTTAACAGCACAAGACTTAAGAATATTTAACAGGAGCAGGTTTAATTCTTCCCTGGTTTTATTATCACACTGTTCACCAAACACAGCAAACCTTCACCATCTTATCCAGAGGGTCACCTCTTCACCCTCACATGGAAGAAGTAATCTGATTGGCATGGTGGTATGTTTGCAGCAGGTCCCTTGTGTAGCGCTGGAACCCAGTCACGATGTTTCATCCATTTCATCGGCTGGTTTGCTGCAATAATGCCAAATAATTAGCAACTCTATAAATAGAAGGTAGTTCTGCAAAATCACTCAGTAGGATGTTTGTTCTAATTTGCTATGAGCTCAGAGCGCATCGAAAATAAAACTAATAGGCTATAAAGATATGAACATATTTAGAACTTACCGGAATGAAAATGTCTGGAGCACCAACAGATATTTGGAGATGGAAGAGACTGCACGTCAGCTCGTCTCACAGCTGCTCTCCAGGCTGGACGCCTTCGTTTGGTAACATCGATACACGAGCTGCTCGTGTCGCTTCCAGGTTGGGAAAGAATGAAAAGATAAACCATTTTCAAGCTTATTCTCTTGCCGGTCATGTGATCAAACATTGCAGCCGACCACACAGCAAATACGAACCGTGGCTGTTGTGTGTGCCTTCGCTCCCGTTTCACTTGCGCTAGACCCCAAAATGGCGGATCGGGCCAAAATCCTTTCCACGCCCACCCCCGTGACATCACGCTCCAAAGCCCTATAACTAACAAGATTCCAAATTCAACAAAAAAAATGAAATATGAAACAAAAATATTCAAAATTTATCAAAGAATAAATAAATACAAAACAAAAATAACACCAAAATATCAAAAAGTACACAAAATCTTAATGTACAAAAGAAAATCTCTCGGTCCCACAGGTCTTTCCTCCCCACTGCTGTCAGACTCCACAACAAAGACTTGATCAAACACATCCACACATGTGCAATAACACTATGTGCAATACTCTTTTTGGCATCATTGTATTATACTCAGTTGTATATAGCATTTGTATTCTATTTTATTCGATTGTATAGAGTATTTTATTTTTATTTTATTCTATTGTGTACAGTATCTCATAGATATATTATTCCAGTGTTTTTTTTCTAATTTTTCTATGCAACTTTGCACTGTCCACTGCTGTAACAAACACATTTCCCACATGTGGGACTAATCTATGTTATCTAATCTTAAAAATCATTTTTAGATATGTGTGTATCAGACATAAAACGAGCTAGCCCCTGCTGCACAAAGACTCACACAACCATCAGCCCCGTGGAAACAGAAATGTCGACCAACTGGAAGATGAATCAGGACCTCAGGATCATTTACAGCAATGACTGTTCTGACTTCCTGATACACACTAATATTTTCCACAGATCCAAAGATCTCTCTGTTTCACCGGCAGCACTGAGCTGCACCCATAACCTGATGGAGAGATTATATATTATCTAACCCGGCAACACCTTGGTTTCTGGAATAGCTGTTTAACCTACTGCTACCATGATCTGACTGGATGGCTGGATTTAGACAATAAATGGGGATATTTTAACCCTTTGGCGTCCACAGGCAGCTGTAAAGGAGTGGTGGGTTTTCAAAATAGCTTTGAGCTTAAGGCTGCTCTCACTGGAACAGTAAATGGACTGGTTCTTATATGGTGCTTTTCTAGTCTGAGCACTCAAAGCACTTCACACAGCTTGCCTCATTCTTCACACAAGCACTTTTTTCTGTGCTCTTTCTATCTGACATTCGCACACATTCATTTGAGTGACTTCAGGTCAGTATCTCATCCAAGGATACCTGACATCTGATACCCACCCACCTTCCAGATTAGCAGGTGACCTGCTCTACCACCTGAGCCACAGCCACCCCAGTGAAGCCAGAAGAGGACGGAACAGGGACTGTGCTGACCCCCAAAGAGCTGAGTGGAAATAAAGGCTCTCATGTTTTCTGAGAGGCTGCTGAAGATTTTAGGGAACTTTTAATGAAGTTTTCAACATAAACTGAAGATGGTCACTCTAAGCACAGTCTCTTTGTCATTGTGATAATAAGCAGCCGAGTCCCTGCATATTTAAACAATGTTAACATCTCTGTGATGGCGCACCTTGTTCTTATAAGCGTTCTGGGCAGACTCAGAGCTCTCAGACCTCTCTCCAGTTTCCTGATTCTTTAGTTTTGTCACCTTCATGGTCGACGGAGCTTGGAAAGAAAAGCGTCTGGACTTCTTTAAGTTGCTTGAAGACGTTTCACCTCTCAGCCGAGAAGCTTCTTCTGTTCTAAGGTCAAATGGTGGAGAGTCCCAGATTTAAACCCAGTGGGAGTTTCCCCCCACAGAGGGACAAAAGGACCCCCTGATGATCCTCTAATCACATGAGCCAAGGTATAAAAACGGGTGTGGGTCCCAATCAGCCAGGGTTTTGGGGGAGCTCATTGTGAAACCTATCGTGTGATTTCCTGAGGTCAGATGGCCCAGGATGTGAGTGGGCGTTAAGGCGTCTGGGAAGGATCTCAAAACTGGATTATAGATGGCAGAGAGTTGGTGTCGTAACCCCGCCTCTGTTCAAAGATGGTCCTCACAGTGGACATAGATGGCTTCTTTCACTCCTCTTTCAAAACATCTGTCCTCTCTGTCCAAAATGTGAACATTGGCATCCTTGAAAGAGTGACCTTTGACCTTTAGATGCAGATGGACTGCTGAGTCTTGTCCCGTGGAGGTGGCTCTTCTATGTTGTGCCATGCGCTTGTGAAGTGGCTGTTTGGTCTCGCCGATGAATGGAGGTGAAACGTCTTCAAGCAACTTAAAGAAGTCCAGACGCTTTTCTTTCCAAGCTCCTTCGACTGCAATGACCTGGATGACTGAGAACCTTCACAGACATACGTCTCCCTCATGGTTTGAGCTCCTGTTTCTGGGTTTCAGTGGTTCTTCTTCATGGTCACAAGTCACCGTTTCCCTCCGAGTTGTGCTGAACTGCTTCATAGCATCTGATGGTGCTGGAAGAAACTTTATTGAAATGTTCTTCAGTGACAAACATTTAGATTCGCTCAGGGCCAGGCTGGGTCAGGTACCTTTTAGAAAATAAGAAACCTGTACACGTGAGAACATCAGCTCTTCCAACTACCCGGGTCACACGGTTCATGTTACAGGTGAATGACAGACTTTTCTGAGCAGCAGCACATGTGACTGTCTCCACCGGGTACCTTCTAACTCACCTGGTAACTGGATCCAGTCCACGTGAGTTGTGCTGCCCTGATGTGCTCAGTGAAGCCTGCGCCTCTTCATTATGTGATGTTATCAGAACCACAATAACACGCCTCACACACATTTAACAAATATTTAATTCTCAGATATAAATACATCCAACAAATGCTGACAGATCTTCCACAGGAGCAGCTACAGGTGACGAGTCCCATCATGTTTACACCATGTATTTACAGCTGTGTCCAGCAGGGGGCAGCAAAGGTTCCATGAGGGGACAGTGGAGCTATGATGGGGTATCAGGAGGAACATGGGAGCTTTCAGTGTGGAATCTACAGGTTAAAGGTCGATAGTGATGGTGAGTCACCGTTTCACTCTGCGTGTCGGCTTGAAATTAAATAAAGTTCTGACTTTGAGCCGCACACAAACATTTCATCCACCGTCATTCTCCCTCAGGAGCCTAAAGACCTCGATGGGTCCGTCCCCTGATACTCCTCCTCACGCTGATCATCAGCCCTCCTCCTGATGATGGGAAGGATGCTGTGGACATTCTCAGTTTGGTGTCTGCAGCTGGTGGATGAATGTTTGTAATTCCAGATGTTTTTGAAAGCTCAGAACCTGAACTTCAAACGTCCGATTCTGCTCGTACAGGGGGGTCACGAGAAGGCATCGGGGCTTCCGATAGGCTGATGCAGAGTCTCAGAGGCTGATACCTGAAAAAGCTTAAACATAAATGGTGTCATACCCTGTTTACAGAGGAGTCGGTGTCAGAGGTTAAAGGTCAACTCCTTTGTTTGATAACAGAGCGGCAGCACTGATACCTGGATCATCTGTCAGTGCGTTCCCTCCTGCGGGAAGCCTGAAGTCAGCGAGCAGCACCTGCTCAGCGTCGCAGAGTAAAGGGTTCAGTCTGTGGCTCAGCTCGCAGCTGAAAGCACATTTATATACACATCTGTGAGCGGCCGCCGCCATCCAAACCTGCAGCACGCCACCTGGTCACGTGACGCTCTGCAGCTCAGACTCTGATCCATCAGGCGGGATTCACACCTATCACGTTTTGAACTGGCTTGTGGATCCAAGCCGAACAAGAACAATCAGCTTTGCTTGTCTGTAATTGGCTGTCATCACTAAGAAGGCCACACCCGAACATCAAATGCCTAAGCAACGTGTGAACCCCGCATGACTGGATAACACTCACCTGAGCTCAGAGTGCTTGCGTGCACCTGAAGCTCCGCCCAACTGACTGATCGGAGCACAGCGCTCCGAAACATCCGCATGGGAAGGCTCCATGAAGATCACACCTGCAGCAGGTTTGGATCCCAGCGCACACCTGTGTGTGTGTGTGTGTGTGTGTGTGTGTGTGTGTGTGTGTTTCCTGTTATTGCTCCTGATGGGGACCCAGCTGCAGCAGCTTTGTGACCTGCCTCAGTTCAGGTGACCTTCACACCGATGAAGCTTCTGATTGGACGATGGGACAGCAGAAAGAAAACGGTGAGTCAGAGCTGACTGACAGACGGCTGCTGAGACCTGGCCACCTGTCTGACTCTCAACTGGGCTTTACATGTTTGATGTCAGGTAAGTACAGATGACTCACCTGATTGACCAACAGCTAATTTATCTTTTATTAACTTGATCACTGATGGTACCTTTGGCCACACCGCTGCAGAGATGGATCACAGGAACCAGGCGAGGCTCAGAGTGCACGCTGAGGTGACCTGAGCTGGGTCCAAATCAGGAGCACGAACAGGTGCGCAGCTCCGTCTGCAGTCCGAGGCCCCTCCTATTACGGAACCGGCCAAAAATACACCTTTTGTCGTCCGAGAATCATCCTCTTCCTCGCCTCAGACGGAGGACTCATGGGCGGTTTTGGACCGCAGTGCTCCGGCCCGGCTCAGGAAGGGGAAGGTGGTGCCGAGGCAGCCAGACGCTACAGTGAGACCCAGACTGGCCCAGGCGCAGCAGATGGACCAGCCATAACCGTGATCCACGTCAGCCGGCAGGCCGTAGATGAAGGGCGGGTTTCTGGAGAGGTCGTAGGTCACGCTGGCTGCATACGTGCACAGGGAGATGGTGCAGAAGATCCCTGAGAACAAATCAGAGACCAGATCAGACTGACACCTGAACCTGTGCTGGCTGTAATTGGCTGAGACCTGCAGGTGCATTACCAACAGGTAAAATATGAACCCTCTGACTGTCAACACAACCTGGTCTATAAGTGATGACGTATGAATCCTGCCTCCAGGTCCGAACTAGTCTGTGTTTACTAAGGCTGTTGTGTTTTTAACATGTTTTGTATCTTGTTCTATTTAATCTCAATAAACCCCTAAAAACATCCCTGTCGGCCTCTCTCTGTTTTTATCACCACTGTAATTCATTGTTATCAGGATGTCCAAAAAACTCACTGAAAAGCCTTCAGCTGATCCAAAATGCTGCAGCAAGAGTCCTGACAGGGACTAGAAAGAGAGAGCAGATTTCTCCTGTTTTGGCTTCCTGTTAAATCCAGAATTCTCACATACAAGGTCTTAAATAATCAGGCCCCATCTTATCTTAATGACCTTGTAGTACCATATCACCCTATTAGAGCACTTCGCTCTCGCTCTGCAGGCCTACTTGTTGTTCCTAGAGTATTTAAAAGTAGAATGGGAGGCAGAGCCTTCAGTTTTCAGGCCCCTCTTCTGTGGAACCAGCTTCCAGTTTGGATTCAGGAGACAGACACTATCTCTACTTTCAAGATCAGGCTTCAAACTTTCCTTTTTGCTAAAGCATATAGTTAGGGCTGGACCAGGTGACCCTGAATCCTCCCTTAGTTATGCTGCAATAGACGTAGGCTGCCGGGGATTCCCATGATGCATTGAGTTTTTCCTTTCCAGTCACCTTTCTCACTCACTATGTATTAACACACCTCTCTGCATTGAATCATATCTGTTATTAACCTCTGTGGGAGTTTTTCCTTCCCACTGTTGCCAAAGTGCTTTCTCATAGGGGGTCATATGATTGTTGGGTTTTTCTCTGTATCTATGAAGCGCCTTGAGGCGACTTATGTTGTGATTTGGTGCTATATAAATAAAATTGAATTGAATTGTTCATTTTAAAGCACAGTAATAAAAACCTTCCGATGTAACTACAGCCCAGCACATGCAGCAGTATATTAACCTCACATTGTGGATGGATTATCTCAGTTGTTCTCCTGCCTGAAGTTTGGTCCGTTTACAGCAGTGGTCCCCAACCCCAGGCCCCGTTTGGTACTGGGGCGCGAGAGTTGAGGCTCGGGTGTGAAATTTATGGTTTTCAGGGTTGCTATCGTTAATTTGGTTTCCCTGGGTCTTTTCCCGTGTTGTAGTCGTGTGTCTTATTTTGAAAGAAATATGTACATGTTACCAAAGCAAACAGAGAGCATAAAGAGAGGTGGATGTTACTCTCAAGGTTGTTGGCACATTTCAGGAGGGCGCAGCTAATAAAGTTAAACAATTACACAGTGAATTCACGTTATTGTTATTCTTACAAAATACCACAGTTTGTGTCTTTGTCGTTTCATTTTATTTTGTTGTATTTACCCGCCACACCTTAAAGGCCGGTCCATGAAAATAGTGTCGGACATTAAACCGTCTGTGGCACAGAAAGGGTTGGGGACCGCTGTTTCACAGCATCCTGCCATGTGATTGCATTTGTCCCTAACCATCGGGAACCCTCACGTTAACTTTTTTCCACTCGATAAAAGTTAACGTTATGTTATGCTAACATAGCTGTGTTGCTAGCAATCACGTAGCACATCATTATATAGCAGCTAGCCAAACTTCAGTAACCCTACAAACGTCACTGCTGTTTAGTTTTCTGTCTTCATTTATGTTGGAAGTGATAGCAGAGCTGTACGTTTGAATCTGTTTCAGAAATCTCTCAGTCAGAACATGCTATATCATGTTGAGGTGGAAGCTAGCGAGCTAACTTCCTGCTAACTTCTAACTCTGTTAAATTTCATAAATTCTGTTTTCATGGATGTTAAACCTAATTGTTACACCTGGTAAAGCAGCAACGCTGATCATTTTATTAAAGATGAAAGAATTTAGACAGTTTTTAACTCTCAGTGATGCTGCAGTGATCGTTTGACTTTGGGCCCGGAAACGGCTCAAAGAGCAGAGAGGGAGCCTTCCTCAGTGTCAGTGCCTCAGTATTAGAAACAGGAGATACCGTGAGAAACATCCCTGTTAAGGTGAGTCTGTTCACTTTCGGGTAAAGGTAAGCCGTTATTCAGTGTTATTTATTTCAGTGTTTCACTTGTTTCTGAGCTTGTTTTATTCAACTTTAATGTCTCACTGGAGAGCTGTCACCACATCTGCAAATGAATCTTTCACTAACTTTATTCCCTGATGTAGAAACGTGCTGTCCTTCTTTTAACAGCTTACTCCGAATTAAAACAACGCCACCCCTCACCAACTATCTTGGCGTCACTGGTACCGCACTCTCCCGGTCTCCAACAGAACACAGTTCATTACCGTGGCAGACTCCGGCTCCACCTCAGCTCCAGGTAACCACGGTGTGCCCCAGGGTCCTGTGCTCGGACCCCTTTACTGCACCACCTATTCGCCCCTCCTTGGTCAGATCATCTGCCTCCAGGTCTCTGCTTGCTTTTCTATGCTGATGATACAAACCCTCCACCCTGCTCCCCCCACAGTCACTTGTCAATTAGAACATGGACGTAGACCAGCATTTTGTGGGAGAAACGTTTCATCATCATCCTGGTGACTTCTTCAGTCTCAGCTGACTGCAGGTTTCCCCAAGCTTACATTTGCATAATGACTGAAACCAGCCACTCAAGGAACAATGGGCTGGGAGGTCAGTTCCTTAATCTTAATTATGCAAATTCTCATGACTATTGATCAACAACCACTGATCAACCTGATTAAACCTTCAGGTAAGAAGTTATGACCTGCAGTCACTCTGGGTCAGATATAAACCAAGTTTAGTTTATTTTAGTTATGCTGACTTTTTACAGTCAGTTACAATAACTCGTACTGCGTACTAGCTAGCATGACGGAGTGTTTATACAGCTGGGTGGGAGCTTTGATGTTACTGATAGTGAACTTTATTTTATTCATAATGTTAGTTATTAGAGTTTCCAACCGTCCCGTACAAACGGAATTGTCTCGCATTCAGAGAAAATATTACGCGTTTGGTATTGAGCTGAAAAGAAACACAGTTTGTGCCGGACTTCAGCTACAATGAAAAAGACACAAAGCTGGATTTATTCTGTGTTTGCTGCACAGCTGCCTCTTCTTTTCTCAGTCTCTCCCCTCTCTCTCCTGTTTCTACTTCAATCATGAAACTGATCAATGATCAGCTGATCGGCTTTTCTCTCTTGTTTGTTTATCGCTCACTTTGCGCCAGAAAGAAGAAACCAGCGGATGTCGTGCTAAACAACAGCAGCACGTTTCAGCTTGATCAGCTGTTGTTAGAATGTATTTAATATTACTTTCTAGTATCAGCTGATGTTTGCTGGAGCCACAGCTGTAAAGCTGCTGGTCATGATGTCGGTTTGGATATGTGGTGAGAGGGAAACATGAAGATGAAACCAGGAGATGTCCTTACTGGATCATCAGAGCTGTGATGGAGAAACAGGTTTACCTTTTAGATGACATGAATGAGTTGAAGTTATGAACTGTTTCTGAGAGACAAATAACACCAGGATCCTTTTTATGTAGCTGACAGCTGGTAAACTTATTCTCATTTAAAATGTCTCACTTTTAATAAATGATGACCTGAATCTTACAACCAAAGTTTTTATTTGATGTAAAATGTATAGAGATCATACATATACCAACAAGACTGTACATCACTGTCACAACAGAGAGAGAGAGAAAGCGAGTTTTGAGATCTGAGAGATTTGTGACGTTTAGCGTGTTTGGAGTGTGTAGTTAATGTGTTGTCTTGTGTGTTTAGTGTGTAGTGTTGTGGATAGTTTTGTGTGTCAGAACAATGAGGCGGCTGCTGTCTCCAGGTAGAAACAGGAGTGATACACCTGCTGCTGTCAGACCTGCAGGCATCAGGCTGTGATGTTCTCCTTTATAGTGGACAGAAATATTTGCAGTGGCACAAATAATTTGTGGCACCTTATTGAAGAACAGCTGATTGTTCTGTAAATAGTTTGAAATGGTTATTTAAAAAATCAAGGTAAATAGCAGCAAATAACTTTGTTTGCAAACTTGTGCATATGATTTTAAAATTGACCATTTCTATTTGCATTTAAAGTTATGAAATATGATTCAAGAAAATGTTTGTGGTTGTTACAGTAAAAAACTTTTCTACTCGAATTTGATGTTTTTGAGTCTGATTTTAGACGTCAAAAGTGGTTAAAATGGCTGATTACACCCTGGACCCCAGAGGGTTAAATATTTTTTTAAAGTAACAGAATAGTTACTTTTCAAGTAATTAATTACTTTTAGAATCTTGTAACTCAGTTACTAACTCAGTTACTTTTTTAAAGAAGTAACTAGCAGTGTTGGTCAAGTTACTTGAAAAAAGTAATCAGTAACTAATTACTGATTACTTCCCCAAAAAAGTAATCCCGTTACTTTACTGATTACTTATTTTCAAAAGTAATTAATTACTTAGTTACTTTTTAAAAACACGATTTACACCCTGAAGAGGTGATAAAGCGATAGATCTTTCAGCCCAATTCTACTTTTTCTACATAATCCATCATACAAAATGTAATCAAATGGAAAAGTCTCTTTTTAAAACTTGTTTTATTAGTTTTAATCTTTTAACTTTATGCATCAAGCAGAGATTTAATTATCTGCAACATTCTCTGACTTGAATAAATTAGTTTAACATTTAAACCTATTTTCTGCACATTCCAGCACATAAAATAAAATATTTTGTGTGTTTACACTCAGTCTTTCAAATAGATGCAAGTAAAACACAGCAGAAAATAAATAAAGTCAAAGACTCAGCGGTCCTGTTGCTCTATTTTCACCTGTAAAGCAGGAGTGGGGTAGGCGGAGGTTTACCCTGGTGCAGGTGTGCCGCGGTCAGTGGAAGAATCCGTGAGTTTCTCTGTGAGTTTCCCATCACGTCGTAGCTACTCGGTGCTTGTTGGAAGTTTAGGGGTTTTTTCGCTGTAAAAAGAAGTTTTCTTCCCACGCACAGCGGACACTAATGTTTTTGTCACTTTTTATGGAATCAAACTCAAAGTAAGGTCAGTACTTCCACGCTTTAAACGCTGCACGCTCATACTCTCTCCCACAATCGATATGTGATCCACTGTTGATCTGCACACAGCTGTTGTCACGAACGTCGCACTCGCTTACGTCACTGTCATGAGACACTCTCGCAAAAAATCACGGTTTTAGTAACGCAGCGTTCCTACGGGAAAGTAACGGTAATCTAATTACCGTTTTTGCAATAGTAATCCCTTACTTTACTCATTACTCGAAAAAAGTAATCAGATTACAGTAACGCGTTACTGCCCATCTCTGGTAACTAGTAACTATAATTAATTATTTTTTCAAAGTAACTTGGCCAACACAGCTCACCACATGGCTGGATTACTGCAGTGGGTCCTGTTTGGGTTTGGAGAGGCTCCAGTATGCACTGAGCTCTGGGGACACGTCACCCCCACCCTCATCTCCACGGATTCCTGATGATCCTCATTCTCATTTATAAATGCCCGAGTCTGACTTGCTGCACCCTGAGCTTTACTCCATCACTGGAGTCCATCAGTAACCTTGTCAAAACTCACCTCAACAAAACCGTCCACCTCTAGCCTTCTTTTGTTTATTTACAGTCTTTGTAAACATCCTTGGGTTTCGTCACTAAGCAAATGTGAGTCATTACTCAGGGCAGGCAGGTTAATAAGGTTTACCAGTCTGCACTCGTAGGTTTAGAAGTTTATATGGCAGGAGTATGCACACCACACTGAAACGTTACAGTGTGGCGCTGTACACTGCCATGGAAACAAACACATCACCTTTTACTTGAATCTTTCTAAATGATTTCACGTTGATGCTCTGATAGCCGAGCCCACTCAAATCTCTCTGGTGATTTTTTTTGTCGGCGCAATTCTATTTATAAAGTGCCAAATCACCACAGCTGCCTGAAGACGCTTTCTATGGTCAGATGAAGACAGTACTCGCTGTGAACCTCAGCTGCGACCAGCAGGGGGAGACACTGGGCTGCTGCACAGAGCAGGTGAGTTACCTGCCATGAGGAAGAGCAGCCCAGAGACGTGCTGCGTCAGGCTCTCCTCCCAGAAGAAGCCCACCGACGCCACAATGCTCCCGCACAGCAGGACGGCCGCCGCCATGCCCAGGAAGCCTGCCGTGATGCGCCGCAGGTCTGTGGACGCACACACACGCACGCACGCACACAGTGATCAGTGCAGGAAATGAAGGAACACAAAACATTGCCGTGGTAACCACTCCTTGGTACTGTTACATAAAACTGATGGTGTGTTTCCGTGGCAACAGTGACTGGCAGTGAGGTTGGCGGCGAGAACACAAGCCAATTACAGGAAGAGTTCAAAGATGGAGAGTGATCTATAATCTATAATCAGGGACGTGAGCAGTGAACAGGGCGCTGACGCGCTCGGTGATGTCACAGAGGTAAAATCCTGTGATGTGATTGGTGCTGAGGCAACTCCAAGCACACAGAGCGTTGGTGTAAAGAGAGCCGAGCGTCCAATCATAGCAACCTCGCTGAGCGGTCGTGTGACGCAGCGTCCAAGGTCGCAAGCATGTGCCCGGCAGGAAGCGGAGGATCACTTCTTCTTCTTCTTCTGTGAGACTGAAACACACACAGCTGACTGCTCTTAGGGTCACCTGCACAGGTGTGAAAACACCCACAGTCTGAGAAACACCGACTGACCCTGAACGCCACACTGAGGGAACACACACAGACACACACACACACACAGACACACACACACACACACACACACACACACACACACACACACAGACACACACACACACACACACATACAGACACACACACAGACACACAGACACAGACACACACATACACACACACACACACACACAGACACACACACACACAGACACACAGACACAGACACACACATACAGACACACACACAGACACACAGACACATACAGACACACACACACAGACACACACATACAGACACACACACACACACACACAGACACACACATACAGACACACACACAGACTGAAGCTTGTCACACAGACGCTCCGTGTGGAGACGCGACTAAGACTCTGATGTGGTCATATAATCATTGTTAGTGATTACTGCTGTGTGTGTGTGTGTGTGTGTGTGTGTGTGTGTGTGTGTGTGTGTGTGTGTACTCACGCAGCAGGTGCCACTCGTCCTGCTGGATGGTCCTGGTCAGGTTCAAGGGGATGTTCCTCAGTCTGATTGGCTGAGAGAAGTGATACTTGACGGCGGTGCAGCGATCTGCAATGCCTGCAAAGTCACACAGGTGAGACACCTTTAAGATTCACGTACTGATGTACCTGAGCTGATAGCATCACCACACCTGCTGTTTCCAGACTAGAGCTGGGCGATAGAACGATAACGATATGTATCGCGATATAACTTTTACTCGATAGAGAAATTAAGCTATCGCGATAGACTTCGCCGCTCTTGTCCTCAAAAAAAAAAAAAAAAAAAAGGTCAGCCAATCCAAATTCAGTAGCGCAGAGCCGAACCAATCACAGCCGCAGCGTCACGTCGCGTGACCTGTTACGTACAGCACAAGTGCCAAGCCGCACGTGTGTTTGTTTGGGAAGCAGCCAGCGGGTAATGGAGGAAATGAGTGTGCCGACTAGAAAAATCAACCGAGCGTGACCGAAGAGAAAACAGATGATGGTTCCAACGCCGGAGAGATTGTCGAACGGAAGAGCCAAAGAAGTTCCGTAGTGTGAAGGTATTTCGGCTATTTCAAGTCTGACAAAAAAACAGAGTAGCGTGCACTGTAAATGTGCCGAAAGCAAGTCTGGAAATACAATAAACTGGTGCATGCGTCACACTGTGCGCCACGTTATTGTTTCGGTGAAATGAATTTCTACAATACTGTTAATTCTACTCTCTGCAGTGTTTAAATGCTTACATATACACACAGTTACTGTCCGTCCACACATACGACTCGGTTCTGCTTCTATGCCGCAGCTTTGTTTACTTTTTCCCACCGAGGCTTCTAGACTTCTGATTGGCCAACATTTCTGCACGGTTAGGAATCTAGCTCCACCTGCTGCTTTGGCATGTTCATAGCAGCGTTTTCCTTCATTTCTGCCTTTATGTGTGGACGGGATTATTTTTTAAAACGAAAACGGAAAATCTCCGTTTTCAAAAATACCCGTGTACGTGTGGACGTAGCCTCAGTCTCTGACTGGAAGCGCTAATTCGTCATTCGGCTTTTGTCAGACTAAAGTAACTGTTACAACTGTTTGAAAAGCTCAGCTATACAACAAGGAGAGATCGAGAATTTCCTTTTAGTTCTCAGTTTATTTGATATTGACAAAAGTTAGTCAGTTTTGTCTGTTCTTCTGTAAAACAAACTAAGATTTATTTTTAGAATTAATATTTTGTTTCTAAGTGGAATTGACAGTTTAGTCTGTTTCGTTTGTTCTATTTTGAAACTTAAACGCTTTAGCGGCTGCCTTTTGTGTAGTTTGCAATATTTGCCTTTATTTATCTGAAAAAGTCTCGTGTTCCTTAAGTACATCTACCCTGTTGAACTTATTATGGGAAATAAATATTTAAATAAAAACAAGCTGCTGATTATTTCACATTTTACTTGTGAGCAACGGCACATTTAAATCTTACAAATATAGTTATTTGGCTGATATCGTGATAGATATCGTTATCGCCTGAAATGAAAAAAACATATCGTGATATGAAAAAATCTCATATCGCCCAGCTCTATTCCAGACCCAAGCTGACAAAACGTAGCAAACCCACATTAAACATCCTCTCAGGTTACATGAGGGCGGGACTTCTATACATGCCAGACATCATCAGCATGGCGTCACATGATCGGTGTGTGTACATCCACAACTACACAACATGCACAACATCCTCCAACTGGGCCAACCAGGACTAACTAGGACTAACACTAACCAGGAGCAGGACAGCCGAGGACCAGAACTAACCAAACTGACCACGATAAGGACTAACAGGGACTAACCAGAACTCACTAGGATAAGGACTAGCCTGGCCCAGGACTAAGATCCGTGTGGACCCTCTGATGTGTGCCAGCTCTGAGCCGAGATGAACTCGATCCAGACATGACTGCAGTGCTTTGAGGTGACAGTTGTGATTTGGTGCTTTATAAATAAAGCTGAATTGAATTGGTTAGAGCAAACGGATGCCGACGCCATATAAACAGGAAGTACTGCTGCTTTTTGCTGGCCCTCCTCGCAGGTATCAATCGATCTAATTGGATCTGAGCTCCAGCCTAATGCAGTGTAATGATATGTAACATAATGTCGGCTGATGCAATTTGGAGTGCTCTGATCTGATGTGCGGTCCAGCTCCTCGCCGCTCGCCATCGCTGTGACCTCCAGCTCTCAGCTCGGCAGCCAGCCAGACTGCAGACACACACTCTGCAGAAACCGGGCCGGCGGCGTCCAAGCTCCTCTTGGGTCAGCACAAAAACGCAGCCCTACAAGTCCCACGATGCACCTCTCTCTGAACCTCACAGTTACTGCGGGGTTCAAGAGGGCGTGGCCTCACACTAATGGTGACCATGTGATTTATGCTACTACCTGCTGTGATGTCATCCAGTGTTAAACAACACCGGATCATCCGTGTGTGTGTGTGTGTGTGTGTGTGTGTGTGTGTGTGTGTGTGTGTGTGTGTGTGTGTGTGAGAGAGAGAGCAGGACGGTTACGTTTCTTCAATCATCCATCGGTAACTGATAGAACCATGTTTATGTATGACGTCATTATTGATCATGCGTGTGGTGAAACCATGAGGATTAAAAGACTTCAACGAACCTGCGAGTCTGCGTTGAGATACAGTGTGTGTGTGTGTGTGTGTGTGTGTGTGTGTGTGTGTGTGTGTGTGTGTGTGTGTCTGTGTATTTCTGTTCAGCTCCATGAAATCACTAACAATGTGCTCCTGTCACGCATTAACCTGCACACACACGCTGCCGTGTATATAAACACACACACTGAACATGTGTGTGTTTCTGCAGTCTGAACCCAGTCGATGAGTTAGCGTGTGTTAACCTGCACCGTTATTCTGCAGTGTGTGTGTGTGTTTCTGACCCCGGTCGATGAGCTTGTCGATGTCCGGGTCCAGCCCCTTGAAGTAGCACTTCCTCCACAGGCCGGAGTGGGTGGAGAACAGCGGCCTGCCGCACTCCGTCTCCAGGATGCCCATCCCCAGGATGGCCCGCCAGTTCTCCAGCAGCTCCTCCTCCCTGCTGCCCACATGCACGGGCTTCATGAGCGCCACGTCCCGGTGCCGGGGCCCGCTGTCCACCAGTGGTAGGTGGTAGATGGGCATCTCGCGGTTCTTCTGGTCGTTGGAGTCGGAGCCGTGCCGGTCGCAGTTCTCCTTGTGCCTGCGCGTGTCCGTCTCGTACCAGTGGTCGGTGGAGATGGCGGTGACGAGCAGCAGCAGCGACAGCACGCTGAGTGCGAGGCTCACCGCGGACACCGTCACCGTAGCCGGTCGGGCTCGCTCCATGGCCGGGACATGGACCGGGCTGGTCCCGGAGCCCCTGTCCGCTCGATTCCCGCCGCTGTTCCCGTTACTGGGCATCTTCTGCTGCCATCCTCCAGATCAGCCGTTCCCCGTTTGCCCTCGAGAGCGCGTTGTCATGCCGACTGACCGTCAGAGATGCGTCAAGGTGGAGGCAGGTAACCCCTCAGAACCGGAAGTCCCCGGAGAGCGCCTTCAGAATAAAACGTTTGTCTCCGCAGGAGGAGGACAATAATAATAATGACGATGAAAATGTTGAAAATAATAATAACAACAACCAGGCTAAAATGTTAAACAGCGGAAAGCTTTGTCTGAGACGGTCAGCTGCTGCAACATGCAGAAATATTCAAAGTGAGATTAGATTAGATTAGATTAGATAGAACTTTATTAATCCCTCGGGTGGGTTCCTCTGGGAAATTTGATTTCCAAAAAAGCACAGCACCGACAGAAGTTACAGAGTTACAGAATATTATATATATATATATATATATATATATATATATATATATATATATATATATATATATATATATATATAATACACACACACACACACATATATATATATATATATATATATATAAATACAGAGACAATATAAATAAAATATACGAAGGGGATAAATAGAATAAATAGGAATAAAAATAAAAATAAAAATACAAGATTCATCTGTCCGTGATGCTGCTTCAGCGTGCAGCGGTTTAGGAGCTTAACGTTCTGCCTTCAAAAGTTCATTTTGCTCGTTTTAACAGAATGAAAACAGCCGATTCTTGTATTTGCTCCTGCACTTTACGCCTATTACTCACGTTAAACTGTCACCAAAACTTTATTTTGAAAGTACAAGCCGGAAACGCTTAGAGTTGCGGGTTTTGTTGTCCTGCAGCTCAGCGCACATGAACGCATGATGAACACATGAAGCTCCTCCCTGATCGACTCGTTTCTGCGGCTTTCAGGTACACCGCTCTTTGCCGCGGAAACGTTGCCATAGAAACAGCATCAGCAGGTTTATGTTTTAGGACGGAGTGAAAACGATCCGAAGCGCAGTACAGAGTTTTACATTGAAATCAGACAGGAAGCATCGTGTGACGTCACGGCAGGGGCCTGACTGCTGAGCTGGGTGCGGACTGATCAGAGGTATTGATCAGGATGTTTCTCCTGAGGCGTTCACTGACCTCAACTCTGTTGCTGGGCTCCATGCTGCGTTCAGAGTCCGCCCACAGCGTCAGACCGCTCTGAAAGGACGAGAGGTCACATGTACCAGAGATACCTTCTGTGAACGGTGCTCGGTGACAGTGGGGAGGAAGAACGACCTCTAAACAGGAAGACATGCCGAGCACGATCAGGGTGGAGAGAGAGATGCAAACAAACTCCAGCAGCTTTGTCCTCTTTTTTTTTTCTTGCAAATATTTTTATTAAAAAAAGAAAACAACACAGTACTTGCACTTACCAAAATACAATTAACCTTTCTTCATTTTCCTAAGTAAATATACTTATATATGAGAAAAACAACAAAACAAAAACACACTCTAAAACAAAGAAGATTATCAGCATACAGAGAGATCTCCAAAGGTTGATTCTGTTCATCTGAACGTTTTCAGTGGGAGAAACGTTTCGTCATCATCAGGTGACGTCTTCAATCTTATCAACAGGACATTTGCATAATGACTGGGAGGTCCTTAATCTTAATTATGCAAATTCTCATGACCATTGATCAATGGCCATGAGTCCCACTCACAGAGAGTTGGGGAATGGCTGCAATCACATCATTGTAAGATGGTGACAGATGTACCCTTAGGCCCCTCCTCGATTCAGAGATGGTCTTTCCCTTTTCATGTAAATGGCCTTCTTGACTCCGCCCTCAAACCAGTGCTCCTCCCTGTCCAGGATGTGAACATCCTCATCATTGAAAGATGAGGATGTTCAGTGGGCTGGTTTCAGTCTTTGTGCAAATGTCCTGTTTAGAAGATTGAAACCTGCAGACAGCTGAGACTGAAAACGTCACCTGGATGATGATGAAACGTTTCTCCCACAAAATGCTACGTCCAGATGAACAGAATCAACTTTTGGAGATTTACTTACCTGGATATTGAGCATGCATCAAGACTTTTACAGACAGGGTTTTATGGGTAAAGAGGAATAGAGCAAAGCTGGTATAGAAGTCCCCTTACATGATGATAGCTCCAGTTTACACCACGAGGAACCAGAAGATTTTAGCCAGTAGTGACGTTCCTTCGCTTGCCTTTGATTGGGAAGATTTTCTCACAGCTCCTTGTAGAGGAGAACTCCTTCAGGGTTCTCCTCTGGCTTTCTTGTGAGATTTGAGAGCTCCTCATGGTTTTCCACCATCACGCCTGCTGCCAGCTTCATTCATTGATTATTATTCCACCTGTGATTAGAATACACTTTGAGCGCTCCTTGGCTGCAGTGTGTGATGGTGTCTGCTGATGGGCGTGGCTTCATGGTGTGAAAGTCTGCTCTGACGTATTGATTATAAATGTGATTGATCTTTAAGGCCTGGCCTGTCAGACTCCGAGCAAAGGTAACTTTGAATGTCCTGACTCGTCATTATCAGTGGGCCGGGAGGAGAGCTGGCGTGTCTCCTTGGCGACCTGGTGACTGAGACCTCATGGGAAATCTCAGGTGACTGCAGCTCTCGTCCTCACAGAGTCAAAACGTGACGTGATGCAGAAAAAATGAAAACTTGTCCATTAAGGTGATCAATAATTCATCAGCGTCCCTGCTGGGCTCTGCTGTTTCCTGTAACACGACCCGCCTCTCCCGCCTCCCACTGGAGCCCCCCACCTTGCTGTGACATCAGTGATTGGCTGTCACTGACTGTATGTAAGAGATGAACGCTGTCGCCATGACATCACTCTCGTCCAAATACTCTCGCCGTATTTGGACGAGAGGGGTCGTGCCCTAACCTTAATCAGAATCAGAAACCTTTATCAAGCCCGGAGGAAATGATGTCATTACAGTTCCTGTTGGAACAGCAACAAAGTACCAATATTAAAGACCACAAAGTAGCACAACGTGTAGCAACGTGTTGTTCTGACTGCAGAAGCTGGAAACAGCAGGTGTGTCGTGGGTACAGCGATGGGCATGTTCAGTGTTCTTCAAGTCACATGTGGCGAGGACACGAGGGGAAGGCTGCTGGTTCAAATCCTGCAGATGTGTAGCTGCTCAGAGGCTCCTGGGCAACAGCTCTCTGACAGAGCGAGAACACTCACTGATCAATACCTGCCATTTCCCACGATCCCCAGCTCCACCCAGCACTCTGTGTGAGTGTGTGGCTCATTAGCATTGTTAGCATCAGTCTTTCCCCCCACCTCCACTGGCCTGCTCCCCGCCATCAAAAGTTATTGATCGAGACGTCTTGAAGCTCCATCAGCTCGTATCGACTGACCGGACGAGCGCTGCCTGCCTCACCTTCAGGGGGAGGGGGGAGTGTAAGAGTGGAGGGTTTGCTGGGGGATGTCACGTGGGAGGATTATTGTGAGCAGAAGTTTAATTAACACTCAGGTGGAGCAACGGTGGCGGTGATTCACTCTCTGAGGTGTGAATGTCATCGCTGAGGGGAAGTGCTGAAGCTGCGGCATGATGGAGGTCACGGGGAGGGGGTGTGATCGATCGGTATCAGCCCGTCCTCCGTCAGGTCCTCAGATCCTGCAGTTCACTGTCACCTTCCACCCTGCAAACTGACAAAACCATGAGCAGAGAGGAGAGCCTGACTTCCTGCTTTTCTGTCACAATAAAAGTCTGTATTGATCGTCTTCATTCAAAGTCAGTGTTTCAGTAGTTAATCCATACATCCAGTTCATGGTTGTGGGGTAGGGACAGCACCCTGCTCGCGCTGTCATCAGAGGTGGGAAGTAACCAGGTACAAATACTTTGTTACTGTACTTAAGTAGAATTTTCAGACATCTGCACTTGAGTAGTTTTTTGTTTTTCTGACAGCATCTCTGACTTTCACTCCTTATGTTTGTAAACAAATATCTGAACTTCCTCCTCTGACGTTTTCAAAACCAGCTCATTACTTTTGGTTTAACATGTTTGAGGGGAATTCAATTTTAATTTTATTTATACAGCACCAATCACAACACTTGCCTCAAGGTAGACCTAAACCCCCTATGAGCACCACTTTGGTGACAGTGGGAAGGAAAAACTCCTTTTTAACAGGAAGAAACCTCCAGCAGAACCAGGCTCAGGGAGGGGCGGGCCATCTGCTGCAACCGGTTGTTGTAATAATATTTACATTTTGTGTTATAAACCTAATATTTAATAATCCACATTTCACTGTGTTACTCTTTGGTTCAGATGTGGATACTGTATTGCTCTTTCTTTGTAATTGTTTATGTTTAAGTTGTTTGTTGCTGGTTTTTAGTTTGTTCTTTGTCTGTTTGGAAGCTGACACAGTCTCTATGGAGATGGGTTTTTGGGGGGTAGCAGGAGGAGAGAAGCTGCAGAGAGGCGTGTAAGACTGCAGCTCTGCTTCCTGGTCCCAACTCTGGATAGTCATATTTTGGGGGGTTTAATAAATTTGTCCATGTTTCTAGAAATGAGAGCTGCTCCATCCAAAGTGGGATGGATGCCGTCTCTCTAACAAGACCAGGTTTCCTCCAGAAGGTTTGCCAATTATCTATGAAGCCCACATCGTTTCTGGGACACCACTCAGACAGCCAGCAGTTTAAGAAGTCTGTCTGTCCTGGTCATTGTGTCCTTGGGCAAGACACTTCACCTACCGCCTACTGGTGATGGCCAGAGGGGCCGATGGCGCGATATGGCAGCCTCGCTTCTGTCAGTCTGCCCCAGGGCAGCTGTTGGGTCTGTGCTTCCACAGGCCCCGCTGGTTTAGAAACGTATTCTCGTTAATGACAAGCAAGGAAACAAGACAATCAGCGATCGATCTATCGCCCCGGTCAGTGTCTCAGAAAGCCGTCTGAATCCAACAGTGGACCCCGGCTTAGGCCTCCGCTTGCCGCCTTTTATTGAAAACAGTTACAGTACACACAAGCAACCACCATTGTAAAAACCCCTATGGGGGTATGTGCGTGCACGTATAAGCACGTGTATGCCTGTGCAATAATGTGTATGTGTGTGTGACTTCCTGCTGATCACAGAAGGGTCATCTCCCCTCTCCAGTATATGGCTCA